CAGCATCAGCAGTTCTCACTATCTCTGAATATTCTCGAAATGCTTTCTTGGTAACAAATTTCTAGTGTCAAAATAAGAGTTCAACTAGAATTTTAAAGAATCAACAAAATTAAACTTACTCCTTCAATTGTCCTTTGCATAGCTTACAGTGTTTTTGAAACATACACAAGCTTGAGTTTGGAGTTAATGTTGTTGTCCAGAGCTGATTTTACACTGTGCAATCTAAACATCTATAGCCTACTGAATTTCGCAGCATTCGTCACTGCAAATCAGACAGCTATGCTGAGAATAAGATCAGAAATTACATGACACCAGGTTATAGTCCAACAGGTTTATTTGAACTCACAAGCTTTTGGAGCCTCACTCCTTCTTCAGGTGTTAGTGAGAGACGTAGTATCAGAGACAGAATTTATAAGTAAAAGATCAAAGGGTCACACCACTGATGACAATGTATTAAACAAACCTAAAATGCTGTTAAATCTTTAAGTTAGAAGTTTTTAATATGCATATGTAAATCCCCGAATTTCTTTCAAGTCACTGCCCTAAGAGAACTACAGCTTTTATCAGTGTAAAGAAGAGGCGATATTTTAGGTTGGACAATGCATGTTAGGCATGAGGCCTTGTTTAGAATCTGTTTGTCTTTTGGTTTGGAGTCAGACTGGTTTTATTTCTAAAGTAGGAATTTATAAAATGCCACATTGACTGTCTATAAATAGTGTGCTTTTTGAACAAAATAGAATGTATCTGCAAATACATTTTTTTGATTTTGATTTTTTTTGAAGAAGAGTACGTGTTGAATTTTCAAAGCAAACAAACCTTTTTGAATGAAACACAAAAATTGACTAGGAGTGCAAGAGGAGGATCACAGGATAATTTTGGGTGAGAAAGGCCTAAGGACAATCTTAATACATCTATTCAGAGATAATCACATGAGATGCTAATGTTCCTGTACTGTACAAGTTTATTTTAAAGCTATATAATATTTCATTTTCAAAAACTAAAATATCTAGATATTATTACAGGGAAAATTAAAAATAAATTGCTATTTTATTCCAAAGTTCACAGTGGAATTTAGACTTGCTTCTTGAACTTACACCCATCTCTGCTATCAGTTGTGCAATCCTCTTGTTGTGTATGTTAAGCACCGACTGTTTATTTTGAATGGCAAGCAGTCGTTTAGCAATTTCTTTCTCGCTTAATGAAATAACTCTGTTTTTCTCATTCAATTCATTGTACTGTTCTTGTAGAGTTTTCTGCAACCTGGTCAGTTCTGCTGTCCGGTCATTAATTTCCAGATTTATTTGAGCATATTCATTTTCTGTTTTTGCATAATCGATTTCCTATGAAGAAGATAAGAAATATTTTTAGTAAAAGTTCACTGTAAGAAACTAAATAGTTATAAATGATCCTGGTAAATAAGTGTTAAGGAACCACATTAAAGTTAAAAGAGGAGAAGGTTTGTGCTATTCGTTAAGTGTAGTTTTTCCTTCTGGTTTGTTTTTGCAAATAAAGTTAAGACCATATAGAATCCACATGCAAGCTATTAGTTCAGAAGATCTGTTAATATCACTCATGCATCCTATGTACTAAGTTAGAGCTGAAATACTGGTTCAAACTTCTGTTCCACATATTTTCCAAAAACAATGTTTTGTTTTCTATTTTTGTAGTGGTATCACTTAAAGAAACCAAAAATCATACAAATGTACTGCAAAATTCAGTTATTCATAAATCTCTCAATAGAAAAACATTTTTATTTTAGCTTAATCAGAAGCCCCTTACTGTCAGCAATGATTGTGTAGTAGCTGTTGTAATCTACTTTGCTGGTTTCTTTTGTGTATAACTATGTGCAAAAATCAGTAAGAAGATGAAATAAACTTTATGCCTAAAGATTTAGCCTTTACGTGTGTGAGCAAACCTTTTGCACACAAATTGTTCATGCATTGCAAGTTTATTTTCACAGTTTGATAATTACTTTGAACCAAAGGCTTTGACAAATATAACAGCACATTAATATAAACATGGCACTCCTGATATGACTGTGCACCTTGTCTTGAAAGCTTCTATTTTTAAAGATCAGAAATCATATTGAACATTACATCAATCAGAAAAAACATTTTTTAAAAGATTTTTGTGGGATATGGAAAGTAAGCGCTGTCTATACTTTTAATTTAGGGAAAAAGGAATGAACATAGAAAATTTAGAGCAGATGAGCATTAGATACATTACATTTATTCACCAGGCACTTAGAATGAACAGAAGCTTTATAGTCATTAAAATATATGTCTGAAGTGCAGTCACTGATGTAATGTACAGAAATGGAGTAGCCACAGTTAGATCCTGTAAACAGCAACGTGATACAAAATCAAATAATCTGTCTTCATAATATTGCTAGAATGTTATAAACATCGTTAATTTTGTTAGTACTAAGGTTAATTTAAAATTAAGAGAAGCAGATGATAGCTATTATTTGTCTAAGCATCATAAACAGGGAGGGGCTCTTGTGGCACAGTGGCAGATGTCCTAACTCTGAGCCAGGAGACATGGCTTTGTGACCCTGAGGTTTGTAATAACATCCATGAACAGGTTAATTAGAAAATATTTATCACGTTAGTCCTTTGAAAACAAATTGTAAACAGGCACCCAAAAAAGGGTAGGGGGGAAGGTGGTGGTCTTGCAGTGGTAACATCCCTGCTTCTGGGCCAGGAGATTTGGGTTTAATCCCACCTGCCCAGGAAGTGTATCCAAACAGATTCATAAAAGATAATTTATATATGGGGAGCAGATGTGACACTGGATGAGGTGTGTGTGTGTGTGTGTGTGTGTGTGTGTGTGTGTGTGTGTGTGTGTGTGTGTGTGTGTGTGTGTGTGTGTGTGTGTGTGTGTGTGTGTGTGTTCATTTCTTGGTATTCTCACTGAATGTCATTTTAAAAACGTTATTGCATAGCAAATAAAATCTTTTATGGGGTCACCTGAACTTCATATATGAATAAAGCATCTCACAAAGCAATATTTTGTGAGTTTTTATACATACTTTTGTGAATTAGGAATGCCATATTCAGACAAATTATGGGCAGCATTGTAAATATGTTATATACAGATCTTTACATACCAACTGTCGTTTCTGGATTCGAAGCTTGTCACCCAAACGTTTCAAGTAATTTGTTGCCTGATTCATTGTCAACTCACTTTCCAATTTTGCCATAATTTCATCTTCCAGTTTAACCTTTGTTGTATATTCCTTTTCTATTTGTAGCTGTAGTACTTTTATCTCACTTTGGCGAATGTTCTTGTCCTAGGAAAGAATCACAGTGAGTCTTCATTCTTCAAGTTCATTGTATTGAAAAGTCAAAAGAACAACCATGGTTCACTCAAATAATGTTTTATATTTAATCTTTCCATGGAGTTATCTATCGTTGGATATTCTGGGGAGAGAATGTGTCTGTTTGTATTTTATTGTCTCTTTTGTCTCTCCTGAATCATTCATTGGAAGAGAGATGAGCAAACCTCTATCATTTTCTGATTATACTGTTTTTTAGCCAGCTGCTTTTCTGTTCAAAAGAAGAGGCACTGGTAATCTGCCTCTGATTATCCTGTCTCCTTCTTCAGGAGGTAGTGGCCTTTGTTGGGCACTTCTCCACAGCAGCACAGTTGATTGGGAGACTCAACAGATTACAAACATATGAACAAGGAACAAGAGCTGGCCACTCAGCCTTTCAACCTGCTCCATCATTCAGTACGATCACGGTTGATCTGATTTTAACCTCAACTGTACATTCCTGCATACCCTCAATAATCTTTCATCTCCTTGATAATCAAGAATCTATCTACTTCTGCCTTGAAAATATTTAAAGATTCTGCATCCACTGCCTTTTGAAGAAGGAAATTCCAAAGATTCTCAACACTCTGAGATAGAAAAAATGTTTCCTCATTTCTGTCTTAAATGGGCAGCCCCTTATTTGTAAATGATGACCAAGTTCTAGATTTCCAACAAGAGGAAGCATCCTTTTGACATCCGTCCTGTCAAGGATCTTATATGTTTCAATTAAATCACTTTTGGCTCTTCAGAACTCCAGAGGATAAAAGGCCTAGCCTTTCCTTATAAGCCAATCTTCTCATTCCAGGTACTAGTCCAGTAAACCTTCTCTGAACTTTTTCTAAAGCATTAACATCCTTCTGTAAGTACGGTGACCAGTACTGTACACAATATTCCAGATGCAACCTCACAATGCCCTGTATAACTGAATCATAACCTCTAATTAAAACACAACTTCTATTAGCTTTCTATACCTGCCCACTAACCTACTATGATTCATGCACTAGCAGACCCAGATCTCTCTGCATTTTGTAGCTGTGCATCTTCTCATCATTTAGATGGTATGCTTCCTTTTCCTTCTTTCTTTTAATTACTCCTGAACTACATCCTACCAATGTGAAGGGACAATCTAATGAGGCTCAAATGCACTAAGCAACTTGGGGAAATCTTTTTCTAAATTTGCATTAAGTATGAAGTTTCATTCTTAATTTTAATTGAAAATTAATTTAAAAATGTATTTTATAAAGTTGCACTAAAACATTACAACAATTTGATTTGTCATTCCCTTCAAAAACAAATCTTTGCTACCAAATAACTCCACATGTTTTAAATAATAATTACCAAGGCTGACATCTAATTTTGTTTCCTCAATTTGGCTGCTATTTCTGTCCACCTTGGGCATTGTTTGGACAAAATGAGTAAAGAAGTGACAGTGCTGGGTTACAGCCAAAGAAGGTGGGTGAAAGCATTCTAGCTAATTGCCTTCCATCTCTGTACATAAAATTTTCATGAATATTTGGCATGTTCTGTTAACTGTCTGAGGTCAAAAAATAAGAAGCATCTGGTTAAACAGTATTAATAGTATTCATGATGTCAATGCTCTTACTAATGAAGCTTTGTTGAGCAAACGTTCTGTTTCATGTAGTGTCCGAGTGTAGGTGCTATATTCATGTTTTAATGCTTCCTGCTTCGCTAAGTTCTGCGCTATCATTTTCTGGGTCATATTAACATCATTTGTCAATCTGTTCAGATTAATTGTTAGAAACTCATTCTTCTCTTCCTGTTTCATAATGAAGGTATTATAGGCAAGCATTTCAGTCTTCAATGTATCCAACTTGTGCCTTGATTGTCTGAATGAAAGACAGAGAATCAACAAAATTTATCATACATTGATAGAAAAGGAACTAGCCAACGATTATATAAGGATTATGGTTAAAGTAATTTTTAAATTAACCTGTTTTGACATGTTATGACTCAGCTCAATGGCAAGTGGGAATTGAACCAGGCATTCTGCCCCAGAGACAGAGAAATTACTACTGTGCCACAAGAGCTAATAAAGCTTACTGTTAAGCAGATTTTGAATTAAAAAAAAGGAGGAACACTGAAAAATACAGTTGGTTTTCAAAGATTGGAAACTAAAATTAGCTTAAAATCAATAAATGCAATACTTAACTGTAATATTAATTATGCAATAACATGCAGAAAATATCAAGATGCATTTTTGTGAGAAGCATTTGATGATAATTTAGAAAACTTAACATATATGATAGAAACAAGTATACAGGTTGGTAAATGATACCTTAAGTGTCGTTTTCAAATTATTGTACACACACACAGGAAAACCAATCCAATTTTGCTAAATAAACACAATGATATTAATCAAATAGAGGAATATCTATGCACTCATAAGTAAACATTGCCTACCTCTCAACTACCTTTTTTTGTTCTGTTTATTAGAAGCAGCAACAGGTCTACAAACAGCCAAAATGTGCAGTATAATAATGGAAAAGCACATGGATAATATGCTACATCATTGCCAACAAGTTGGCATGTTTATGCATTCATGCCCAAGTACAAATTTAATATATAAACTTTTAGATATACATGTCAAAAATTAAAAGTGAACACTTTCACAGAAAGAAGTGTTTCTTCTTTAAAGACTTCTGTTTTGAACCTGATAGTTCATGTTAGCTGGGGTTCTGTCAGGAAACAGCTCTAAAAGAATTTATAACCAATTTCATTAGTTTTCCATCAGATAGTTATAGTAACGAACAATAAAAAATTGCAATGCAATACTGGATGAGAAGCAGAGCCAAACATAAACAATGAAACATGTTTTTTGAACACTGAAAAGAATTTTCTTACCATAGTTATTCTGCTGAACTAATATCATTTTATTTAGATTCTGAACTATACCTGACGGCTTCCTGCATTGCAGCGTATGCCTCATCACGTCGCTGCATCCCAATTAGGCTACTGGTCCACTGTTCTATTAGTTGTTTCTTCTCATAGCCAATTGCCTCAATCTCCATGGCTGCCTGAGAAGTAATTTGAAAGATAGATTAGTTTGGGAACATGATCGGCGTGGACTAGTTGGACCAAAGGGTCTGTTTCCATGCTATATGACTCTACAAAAGGAGAAGAAAGCTGCAATTAATAATGAAAGCACTTTTTAATGATCTTCTTAGCATTATAATTCATAAGGCAGTCAACAGTGACAGGAATTCTGTAGTTGCATTCTAGGTCACATACTACTAATGCTAAATGAGAGAAATGAGCACAGGAGCACTAGCATAACCCAATTTGCTTATGCTGCATTGTACTATATGGGTAGTGATCGAAGGTCTGTAGCTGTAATATAATCAGTTCTTAATATGACCTCTGAAAATGGGTAAATTACTGTTCTGTTTAAGCAATGAGGCAAATGCTGACATCAAAGAATTTGACCAAACAAAAGGTAAACTCTACACCAGGATCCATAATATTTTTATAAAGTACAAGTTCCATGGTTGTGAATTTCTCACCACCAGGCTGTCAGAAGCTACCAACACTTTCTTTCCCACAGCAATGGTTTGCACACACAACTTGTGTAACAGCTACAGTTGTGGTAAGGATTGTTATCTCACCTCTGCCACCGTTTTCCGTGCTGCTTTCGTTTCTTCTACTTGTGCAATATACTGGGCTTCATACATTGCAATCTGTTCTCGCAGTATATCCATTTGCGATACTAAACGGTCGACAAACATGTCCTAAGGCCCAAAAGAGAATTATTAGTGCCTTATTTGTAAGATAGGGTAAAAATTCGTTAAAAACACCTCTGCATTTGGTTTCCAACAAAAAAATCTTGCATTTATTTAGTACCATTGACTTCTTCAGGATGACCCAAAGATGTCTTCCTATAACCATTTAGGTATTTATTTTGTGTAATCAATGTACATTATAGACAAATGTGGTAGCCTTTTTGTGCATAGTAAGGTTCCGCACTCAGCAATAACCAGATTATCTGTGCTTATTTAGTGGTGAGAGTTGAGTGATAAATGTTAGCCAGAACACCAAGAAAACAACCTCGTTCTTCTTCAAATACTACTACAGGGTCTTTCACATCCTGATCAAACAGCTAGATTCTTGGATTACCGTCTTTTCTGAAACATGCCACCTTTAAAGGCACATACCCCTTTTGATGTCTCTGGAGCAGAACATGTCCCAGCAACAGTCTAACTCAGAAATTTGAATGTGACTACTAAACCAATGTCGATTTGACACCTACAAAAATTTTACATTGTCAACAGGATACTTCCATAACAGTTCTCTTATGCAGTCAAGACCAAGTACAATCTTCATATAAAGCAAAGTTGGAAACTTGATGATAATAGAAACAGGACATACAGATGCAATTCAGTTCCAATTTTAAACTTACATATTTGGTCTTTATTGTTATATTTCAAATATAAATTTCTGTATCCGTATTTATAATCAAACCTTTTTGTCTAAGTTGCATTGTTTAATTAGTGATAGTTCTACAGCATTTCTCTTGGGGAGAAGTTGTGCTTTTAGCATGGATCTCTAGGTCATAAGAAGACAAATCCATGGGGTGGCATGATGGTGGAAATTAAGATTGGCAGCATTTTTGTGGAGCCCATTCAACAAACCTGTTCTTCCCATACCCAAAAAATAAAGTCAAAGTTTTTCCTTGATGGCCATCAAACAGATGATACTAGGGAAAAACTAAACTTGCATCCTGCTCACGGTAAAGTAAGTATTGGCCCTCCAGACAGCAAGCATGGGGAATTAATAATTGAAAATAAGGAAATCATGTATGGGTTGAATGAATCAAAATAAAAAATACTGGGCAAACTCAGCAGGTTTGGCAGCAGCTATGGAGAGAAAGCAGAGTTAATGTTTTGGGTCCAGTGATCCTCCATCAAAATGAATGGATCTTTTACATTTTTCTTCATCGTACAGAATATATACAATACCGCAAAATTGTAAGTAAGTGGTGAAAGGGAAATAGGATATTAAAACAAGCACTACAGAAAAAGTACTGCGAAAATGACTGGAACTGAAGTCTGACAAGTTCCAGGTCTTGGTGGACCTCAGTTTAAGGTCCTAAATAGAGTGGTGGGTGAGATAGTAGTACATTGATTTTAACTTCCAAAATTACCTAGATTCTGGATAGGTCCCATCAGATTAATTTCAGGAATGAGGCACGTATTTTATGAGAAAAGGTTAAACAGGTGGGCCTGCATCAATTAGACTTTAGAATAATGAAGTGGTGTTGAAACATACAAGATTTTGAGAGGACTTGACACAGTACAGATTGAAAGAATGTTTGGAGCGGCATGGTGGCTCAATGGTTAGCACTGTTGAGGGACACGGGTTTGATTCCAGCCTCAGGTGACTGTCTGTGTGGAGTTTGGGCTGGGGACAGACAAACAATGAGGCGAAAAACAAAGTGATGCAGGCCCACCTGTTTAAC